GCGGAACCGCACAAGACTGCTTCTGGCAAAATTCTGCTCGGGGAGAAGCATGTGCGGTTCCGCGATCGCGGAACCGCACTTGCCTCGAATTTTGCTATTCTGTAGGTTGGAATGCTCCATGTCTTGTGCCAGATGCGGTTCCGCGATGGCATAACCGCAGTTGCCCCCAACTTGGCTGTTCTGTAGGCTCGACTGTCCCATGTGCTCTCCCTTGTGCGGTTCCGCGATCGCGGAACCGCACTTGCCTCGAATTTTGCTCTTCTGCAGGCTGGACTGCTTCCTGCCCTGCGCCTGGTGCGGTTCCGCGATCGCGGAACCGCACTTGCCTCGAATTCGGCTCTTCTGTAGGATGGAATGCTCCCTCTTCTGTGCCTGGTGCGATTCCGCAATCGCGGATTCGCACTTGCCTCGAATTTTGCTCTTCTGCAGGATGCAATCCTCCATGTGTTGTGCCTGGTGTGGTTCCGCGATCGTGCAACCGCACTTGCCTTCAACTTGGCCCTTCTGTTGGCTCGAATGCTCCTTGTGCTGTGCCTTGTGCGATTCCGCGATCGCGGAACCGTACTTGCCTCGAATTTGACCCTTCTGCAGACTAGACTGCTCCCTATCCTGTGCCTGGTGCGGTTCCGCGATGGCGGAACCACACTTGCCTCGAATTTGGCTCTTCCTCAGGCTCGACAGCTGCCTGTCCTATGCCTTGTGCAGTTCCGCGATCGTGGAACCGCACTTGCCTTGAATTTGCCTCTTTTGGGCATCTTTGCAAGCTCGACTGCTGTATGTCTTGTACCTGGTGCGGTTCCGCGATCGCGGAACCGCATCTAAGTCCCACATGGCACTTTGGAAGCTCGTGTTGGTACTGTTCACACGCTGTACTTGCTCACTACGCTGTGTGTGTGTTTCCAGATGCCTTCTTTCACCTTGAAGCTGGATTTCGATGAGGCTATCCCCACCAACTGCGTTTGGGTGTGTACAGTCTGTGGCTGTACCTGCAGAGCGCTGACACCGGCTCAGTTGGTGGGGGGTTGTCGGGGCTGCAGGGTGGGCAGCTACGTGGTGGCGGCTCGTGATGGAAGGGGTGGTGCTGTGGCGCACTCAGGCACACCAACAATCTCCTGGACCGCCCTGGAGGACCCCCCCCTCTGCCCCCCCTCTGCCCCCTCCGGCCCCCCTGGTTCTTCTGGCCCCTATGGCCCCTCCGGCCCATCTGGTTCTTCTGCACCCTCCGCCCCTGCTGCCCCCTCCGCCCCCCACCACTCTTTTGCCCCATCTGCCGGGCCCCATCCCAAGCATGACGACCCCACCCTCGATCTGTCGCGGGGCCTCGAAGGGTGCTCTTTGTCCGCTGAGGACTACCAGACCCCTCCCCAGTGGCTAGCCCAGACAGACGGTTCGGTCGTCAGACGGGTTCAAACCGTGACGGATGAGGTCACCTTCCGTAGGGCTTAGTTGCTGAGGGGTTGTGGGGTACTAGACAGGGACAATAGGATGTCGGCGGGCGTACGGTTCCTTTGGTCCCCGGGTCGTTTTGGGATGTTTGTTGTTTGAACATTTTTGTAACTTTTTGTTACTTCTGGCCTTGTGTGCGATGGATTCTGAACTTGCAATGTACCTTCATAATATCCTTGAGCACGAACAAACTGGTGACCATCTCCCACGCGCAAGGAAGCACTGCGTATGCTATCTCCATATTGCGGTTCCTCCATCGTGGAACTGCACTGTCCCCAAAATACCTCCAATCCTCTCATTTGTCCTTTGTATCTCAATGCAACCTAATATGTACTATATTGCAGAATTGTCAAAGCAGAACTCATACGATATTGGTAGGATGTCAAGGTCAGGAAATACACGTTTTAGCCTCATTTTTCACCACATGTTATGGGACATTTTGAACGGAAAGGAGTTTGGTGATGGGCTTTTTCTTTTTGCCCACGGCTTGCCGGCCGTTTTCCAATTGCCCTCGGCTTCTGGAATCACCGGCATCGGCTGTCCAGTCGGACTGGGGGCCCTTTCGGCCTGTTTCGTGGGCTGGGCGATTTTCTCCTCCGCCTCTCTCGCTCGCATCTTCTGCTTCAACAGCCGGTCGCTCAATGCGACAACCTGTTGTTTAGCCGATGCCTTCACCTCGGCGGCCTGGCAACTAGCCTCCTTGGCCTTCTTCAAGGCAACTTCATGCTGCCTGGCCTCCTTCTACACAGAGGCCGCCACGATCTCCAGCTTGGCGATCTGGGCGGCAGTCTCTTTGTCGCGCGTCTCTTGGGCCCGCGAAGCTGCCGCAGCTGCCATTTGCTCCAAGAGCTCCTTTATGCCCGGTGCCTGAAGAAGGGCCGCCATGGTACCCGGCTCCGCCGCCTCCTCTTCTTGGGGCACTTCCGCCTTGGTCATCGGATGGTCGGGCTCCTCTGGCTCCGCTTGTCCCGATGATGCTCCGGCTACGTCCTTTCGGACTTCTTCCTGCTCTTGCCCATTTCGGGCTCTAGTTCCCTCACCGGCTGAACTTACCGAGGTCCCCTATCGAGGTGATTCCTCTCCTATTTCGGGTGTTCCCTGTCGGGCTGTAAGGTCCATTTCCTCAGCCTCCATGGAGGAGGCCGGGGAAGAAGCCCCGTTGCTTCTACTTCCGCGCGCGCCCAGTTGAAAGCGTGGTCACCACCCACAGGTGGCTCCAAAACCAAATGATACGAAAAGCTTGTGGGTGTGGGGCTCCTGCCCTCTTTGAGCCGCGGACCCACCTCGCCGGGCACCTAGGTCCTTACGGGGACCTCGGCGGGACCACCCCTCCTACTCCCGTATCCTAATACCTAGAACGGTTATGATAGGTTGAGGATTATGTATCTTGGGCAGGGCGTCCCCCACACCAAGGGCCATGAGTAAGGCGTCCCCTATATTGGGCCACTGCGCATAACAAACGGACTTAAATCGACCGGAATGAATAAGAACGGGGCCATTCCATGTCGGGAATGGAACCGTTCCTGGTTAGGAATAGATCCGTTCTTGAGTAAGAATAGATCCGTCCCTGGATAGGAATGGATCCGTTCCAATACCATTCTTGTCTGGCCCAAATCCATTCTAAATTTGTTCCTTGGGAATGGCCTAGGAATGGACTGAAACGGGCTAGAACAGACTAGAATGGGAATGGGAATGGGTCCATCCTTAGGACGGGAACGGACACCGTCCTCATTCCAATTCCAACTTCTTCTAGCCAGGCCCACCTATGCTTGCTCGCATGGAATCACATTGCTTGCCCTACTCTAAAACAAGCCCTGCCAGTTGCCGAATAGTCACCAGCGAAGTGACACCTCGCACTGTGAGGTGCGCGGAGGGATTCGTGCCTCACGGGTGGCCATTTGCCCATACCCAGTCGCCTAGAATGGGCCCCACAAATGGCACCAGTGGGCCCCTAAAAGGTGCAAGATGCGGTGCATGATTGGCTCCTCACCAACGCCCAAACACCCCGCACACCTTGCTTTGAAGCTGCCCCTGCTGTTGGCGCGATTGGGCACCCACGTGCTATGAGAAACCTCTAGAGACTCGTTCCTCACGGGCATCCATTTCTGCTGCGAGCACTGGCCTACAACAACTTCTATCAGTGGTGGGAATGGTTGCCTGCAAGGCGCAAGAAGCGTGGCTTGATTCACCCCTCACATGTGCTCATTCCCACCGCCCACAATGGCCTAGAATAGCTATTGGTGGTGGTGCAAGTTGGCACCAACAAGGCGCTACAGGTACCACCGAATTGGCGCTTCATAGGCGCCTATTCCTGCCTATTAAGCTGGCCTCGAACCGCCTCCACGGGTGGAGGGAGTGGGCGGCCATGAGCGTGAGAGGCACTAAGTGATGAATGGGAATGGGTGCCCACGACATATGAGCTATGCACTCTGATTGGCCCCTCATATGTGCCCATTCCCGCTGTGCAGGCAGGCTTGAAACGGCTCCCTGGGGTGGTGTGAATTGTTGCTCGGAGAGCAGGGGCTATGCACCATCCATAACCTACGCCTCCTGAGGGTCCATTCCTACTACCCATGCTACCTTGGAATGGCTACCCATAGTTGGTGGGAAAGAGCGCCTGGGAGGAGCGAGTTGCGTGCCATAACTTGCATGTTATGGGTGCCTATTCCCGCTTCTTGCACCACTTTGGAACAACACGCGAAGGTGGCAGGAATGTGCCTTGCAATGTGCAAGCTATGCACTCTGATTGGTACCTCCCGTGTGCTTGTTCCCGCCACCAATGTGCTGTTGCAGTCCGCGCAATTCCCCTCCTTGTGCAATGCTGCCGTGTCGCCTTGTGCTTCTGCTCCAGGTGCTATTAGCTCCATCACTGAAGGTTTGTCATTGGCGAAGGCCAATCACATTCATACTGGCTACATTCGCGACCTTTGCTCGCTTGGCTTGTGCCCAACCACCTGCTTTGTTGCTGACGCCTCCAAACCTAGCGGCGCGCCAACAACAACAAGCGCCAATCACCCGTGTCAGAATTTTACCCTTTATCTGAGGGGCACGCAACCAGCACCGCGAGGTTTGCCACTATGCAAAAAGGCCTAACTTGAACCCCAGTGGGGCAATGGGCCTATTGATGCATTGCGGGCTGCAGCTGTGTTTTGCTCTGTAATGTTGGGCAGGCCTGGCTTGATTGATTGGGGAATTATTTTAAATACCGTCAGGTTAATCAATTGTAATAATATCCATTACAACCCGACCTAAGCTACATATTTTATAGTGTTGCGCAGTGTGGCGTTCCTTTATTCGCCAAAAATGGGCCAATTCGACCATTCCGCTATTTACATTTACGCCATGGCTCCATGTGACGGTGCCGGAGCACACGGCAACGGGTTACAGCGGAGCATAACCGTACTCGGCTGCCCAAAATACAAGGTCACGCGCGAAGTACAGCAACCCGAATCAGGCGGCGTGACACCGTTACCCAGTTTCCCGCCACTGCTACCCCCACCGCCCTTGACTTGGCGCCAAGGCCGATTTCTCAACCTGCGACAGGGTCCCTCGACATGGCGAAGGCGGGGTCGACGGAAAACGCCGCGGCGACGCCAGACGAATCTCAGCCGGCGCTTCCCTGGGCGGCATCACGATCGGGGGAGGTCCCGAAGGATGCAAGCAGAGGGGATGGCATGGAGGACAACGCGGACGAAGACATGGGGGTGGACGATTTGAAGGGGGCCTTGGCCGCCGCGTGCCCTCTCGAGGCTGTGGGGCTGCAGGTGAACGACAAAATAGAGGTGCGTAATTTCGCGTTTGGCTCCGGGGGGGATCACACGAAAAGAAATTGGCAGGGTGGGAGGAGGGCAATTGTTGTTGTCATTGTTGATCAGCTGTTGGGAAAATCCCTCACATGTGTTATCTCCGTGCAGTGTTGGCTTGTCTGGAAGTTGCTCGCGAAGTGCAAGCTCATCCCTGTGGCCACCTGAATGTCTGCAAGTGGCATGCGTGGCGCCCATCGTGGCTGGTTAGGCTGGTTCAATTGGGCAAGAGACAATCGGCACATGATTTAACGCCAGTGCCCCCCCCCCCCTCCCGCCCTTCTCGAAGCGGGGACGACAAATGGTAAAGGGCAATATTGTGCTGGGAGCTGCGATTGCCGAGCACCATCCATCCAGTCTTGGATGCTACACAAGCAACCTTAGGGCAAGGTGCTGTCGATCAGGACTTGCAGCAATGGCCAGCGCATCTGTCTGTGTGTCGAAGGCATTTGGCTCCTTTGCTGCACAATGCAGAGGTGCTCTTTCTCTCGGTGGCCAACAATGGGATGCGCATCCTTTGAATATATTTATCAAACGAATAGAGCGAGTCCGGGCGCCAGCAACGTGATGAAATGCTGGCACTGTACATCAGAATATCAAAAGGTGAGCTGTAGTAAATGTTTGCAGAGATACAAGTGTGAAGCACCTTGTGGATCTGTAGAGGATGAACATGCCCATCAGTTCTGAGTGAGTCGCAAAATTCAACCAAGGAGGCAGAAGGGGAGGAGGCATGCGGGGGTGGAGGCAGGCAGATGGTCTATTGATTGTATAGGAAAAAGTTGCACAATGGGTATCTTTCCTCCTGAACAAAGAGATATTTGAGATTCTGTTCCAAGGCGGAGGAGACAACGTACAAGCCTGTGAATGCAACATGGGTGGCTTTCTGTACCAAGGGGAGGGATACTTGTGAGTGAGATCTGAATTTCTGACAACAACCTGCTGTGGCCCGAACCTCCCACTTTTCCCCCCACCATGCTCATTCTAAGCATGGCATTGGAGTCTCCAGTTAAGTTCTGTTCAGATGCTCCACAAGCTTACTGTCCTATTTGCACTGGTTTGATCACATAGTGTTGTGTGATTTTGCATTGTGCACACAAGGGGTTCTCGATCCTCTCTTAACTATGAAGGAACATCTGGAGTACTGTTTTCAAGAGGGTGGCTTCCAATATGCGGCTTGCCTTCCGCCAATTGACAATTAGTTGCTGTCACTGATTCACGTCAGGTTAAGTGGGAGGTGGAGAGTGAAAATGGGACCATCGTCACTCGGGTGCGTCTGACTCTTTGGGATGGAATGGATTCTGGACACAGGCAACAGAAGAATAGAGCCCTGGACAAAGACTGCTATGATTCGATTTGCCACTGCTGGACAAAAATTTTGTTCTTGCATCTCTAGGGCATTGGCAGACAACTTTGGCGGCCATGTGTTTTTTGTGGTATATTATGCGGAATGCCTGACTGGCCATAATTAACACCGGGATACCTATCTTTCTTGGGGTGTTGTCACAGAAGGGCAACGTGCACAAGTCATCATATAACATGTGCTTAACTCTTGAAGCACTTGAATTGCCTTGTGGAGCTGTGCAGAGGTGGGCATTGGATTATTGAAGCACTTATCATCCAGTTCCAAACTAAAGGTTCTGCTGGGCGTCATGTGTCCCAGCTAACACTGCATATTTTTTTGTGATGTTGGATTCGTTGACACATGCATCATCAACATTTTGTTGATTGCCCAAGAAAATTCAGTTTGTGAGATCATGGCCATAACTGATCCAGTAGCAAAAGTGAACAACCTTCTCAATTGTAACAAAACAGTAAGCCCAGTCATCAACGACTGACGATCGTGTAGACCTTTTTTTATTCGTGTGTATGAGCCATTTGAGCCCTTGTCTTTGCCTGGACATCCAGTTGCTTGGAATCCAACCCCCATCTCCCAGCCACACACATACTACAACAGCACCTTTCCAGCAGTCCACAACCGATCAAGCTCCTGTACAAGTGACAATGATGAATGTATGGTCCTGCAGTGGTGGGGTGCCCGAGTTCTGCACCTGGACGAGTCACAGACTGCAGGAGGCGTTGGGAAAGTCTGGGTGGTCATGTAAGTGCACACACCCTGGCGATATTCTACTTCAATGGCCGATGTTGGGAAGTGTGGTAAGGCAAACCTATTGTCACCTGAATGTTGGTGTTGGATGGAGCACATTGCCATCGAAAGCCTTGCGCCAAAAATCTCTATGTGCACCACTGGTTGGTACATTTCCATCGTCCAACTGAAAGCTGTATTGCCTCCATGCAAAGTTGTTTTCATCCATTGCCAGCACTGCACAAGGGTGGTATGAATAGCATGCAATATAAGGCTCACAAATCAGCGAGGGAGTACAAGACATATCAGAAGTGTTGGCTTCGCTGTAGTTTAGAAATGGTGAATTCAGAATTTCTCTGGAGCAATGGCCCTTTTGTTAGTACTGTGGCTTAGTGTAAAGGACCGTGCATCGCGTTGGTATGCAGAAGGGTGTAATGCAGCACAGTTGTATATTCCCAGCATCATGGATCCCCCACCTCTCTCCCCCTCTCCTTGGCGTCCATTTGGTGTTAACATTGTCCGAATCCTGACGATGCTACCACTTAGTGATGCTTTGCAACAGTCTCAGTGCACCTAATGAACTCAATTCCGCTTTCCTATAAGCAGTGAGAGTAGCACCAACTCATTCAAATAACCTACACAAGCATAGTTCGACCCAGAAAATGGTTATGCAGCGTCAGCAGAACCGGCACTACCATTAGCAATGATCGAAAATCCCAGTCTTCCTGTGTGGAGTTCAGAACTTGGCCTGTTAGTATTTCTGTGTTCAAGCACACTGCAACGTGTGAGTGGGGAAGTTGCAATGCCACAAAGAATCGAATTTGGTTTTCGCATGGCCAATAGCTAGTATTTTGCCTACATCACTATTTTGTTGACATACAATAATCAATCTCTTTTCAGAATGGACTTACGCTCACACTGCTGCAAGAAATCAATCACACATCTGACCTTTATTGTAACAGCGAGACTGATGCTGCTTGGACTGTTTAGGGCAACTGTGCATTTTCACAGTTTTGTTTCGAATCTGTTGCCAAACGCTGGCATGCCTGCATTGCAGGTATGATCCTTTTGGGAGCTTTTCCGCTGAACAGGCAAAGATCATCTTCCTATCAGAAAGTGCGTTGGTGATGGCAGATTGTTGCTTTGGCCATGGAATTCCAGTAACACATCCTCCATTACCACTGCTGACTGCACCGCATCATCGAGGCCACTCTGACAGCCAAGTACAAAAACTATTGCTGTCTGTCCTGGCTGTTTGTGATGCCTTGCAAGTTGCTTATTCATTGCAAGCATTCATTGCCCAGCGCGCTCATTTGTGGCCAAAAATGCATGTGTATGGGAAACATCCCAGTACGTGGCAAATGGACAGGTGTGTTGCTTTCTCCTCTCGTTAAAGGAAGATACTCCGGTGCAAAGCTCCAGCTTATGGCTGGACGATGAGAAAACGTAGACAGAGCCACACACAGTTGTTTCAGGGCAACTGACCATTATCGGTCTCGAAGCCCTGGGACACTGTGAGCCGCATTGCAAAGGCTGTACTTAGCCCTGGGTGTGGTTGCTGTTGCCTGGCTTCATGGTGGACAACATGCCACAACTTTCCTGATGCATTGCTTGCCGCACGTATCCCAGGGCATATTTTTGACGTGTCTGAGGGCGTGGAAATGCGTTGGCGAAAAGAGGGGGAACTCTTGGGCGACACAGAATTTGATGAGGATGGTGCTGAGATGAAGACCCTGAGTGATATCATTGAAGAGGGCGAACTGTATGTGGAGGGCCAGCTTTTGGCGAGAATGCTGTCTCGTTCTGTTGACTGTTGACAGAAGAACTTTCAGATTCCATGCTTTGTTGCATTTGCTGATCAAAGCATCTGAAATGTAGATATATTAAGCAAGCAATCTTTTGACTGGTTTACCCAAATTTCAGTTGTGAAGTGCTGCTGTTGACTTTGAGGACCTTGCTCAGCTCAACATTACGGAGATTCCCGGTGCACGCACTATATCAAATTGCATCCATCTGAATACATTCATGTACGTGAATTGCATCAAAAATTTTCCATCCAAATGCATCCATTCAAACACATCCATGCCCATTTCAGAGTGCATCAAATTGCATCAAATGTGCATCCATCCAAATATGTCCATGTCCATCCCATGCACCAAACACTCATCCAAACACTGTGTCTCCATCAAACTGCATCAAAATCTCCATCGGAACGCATCTGTTCACATGCGCTGTGGCTCACGTTGTCCAGTGACGCGATGGCTCTGACCAAACAGCGCCAGAGCCACTTCCCTTTTTCTTGCTACTGGTCAGTCCAATACTGTGGCCCACATGCTTCCACCATCCAAAGTGTCTTGGGAACACCTTTTGCGCAGTTGTCTCTCCTTTGCTAGGCTTTGGGCTGCCGTGCATAGGGCAAACTTGCCCCCTGTTTGCACTGTTAGTGCACAGCAGCAGTGCCTGACGAGGGTGTTGGGTGTCAGGTCAACTCCAAATTGTGTTTGCGGATGCAGGGCAGGCTTGAGCGAAGAAAAATGCGCCGAATTGGAACACACCGCAATGCAAAAGCTCCCAATCGCCAACCAACAGGCATTGGCTGCCGGCTTTCAAGAATTCAAGGACAGCCTCGTGTGAGTAAATCAACTGCAGGCTCCCACATTCTGCAACCCCTTGCAGATCTTGTTTATTTTCTGTCGACTTTTGTCTTTTCGTTTCTTCATGGTCGCAGATTTTACACAATCCCCAGTTCATAAATTGCCCTATCAGCTAATCAGCAAGTTGATCGATAGTACTTTGCATGTAGTGGCGAGCAGGCATCCGAATATTTCCGAATTCAATAAGCATAGCAACACTAATGGCACAACACTCTAGCTTGGCTAAATGTCAGGATTGTGGTTTCGCAGGAGGTTTCTGAAAAGGAAGGAGGAAGAACTTGGAGAACATACTGTCATCGGTGAAAAAGACGTCGCTGATTTTGTGGCGGAGATGTCCAAAAAGTCCAAGCGGAAATGAGTGGGGACGTGTTCAAATTACCAGCAATTGACCACTGATCTGCCTCTGTCAATTATGATTTGTAATCCGATGATTGAATGGTGGCATATGAGAATCCCGTTTCAAGTAATACCATGAACAGTATCTTTGAATGGCTGTCACATTTTCTTGACGTTTCACCTGCAACTTTCCAGTTCTCATGACTGGAGGTTGGTAGCTAAACACTTATGTGCAATGAAACTCAATGAGCAAGGTGAATACAGATTAAAGAGCCAGTTTAAAGAGATGAAAATCTGACACACTAGGACAGCCACAACTGCCATTTTGTGCAAGCAGCTAGTCATGTGCTTGCTGGCCGGTGTATTCATAGACCTGATTGAGATGGCGGGAGGAGCGCCGGCCTACAGTCAGCTTCGGTTTTACTAGTTTTGATGATCATGACTTGGTGCTATGGATTGGAGCTGTGGGTCGTTACTGTGGGTGGATGCTGTGGGTTGGTGCTGTGGGGTAGCACGTGCATGTGTGAAGTGTGAATTCAATCCACCGTTCTGAGTGCGAGTTTGGCGGGCAAAGAAAAGAGGCTTACTCTGGTATTTAAAGAGAGCCTGAGTCTTGTTTGGGGCTTCTCTTGGTTTGATTGTAAGACAAGCTGAGTCTCATCTGCTTGTCCGACTATGCATGCCGAGTACGTTTGAGCACTGCGTGCACCAAGGTTGCCAGAGAGGTCGAACCAAAAAGGTTTGACTTGTGCTGTTGCGCACCCTATTGGGTACGCCCCAGGACCTGCCCACGAGGGGCACGCGGAGAGCGAGCAGGGAACCCGGAAAGAATCTTACAATTGGAAGCGTGAACCACGAATATAGTCAGGTGTTCATTTACTACTAACAACAGCTAATCAAATTGTAGACACACTACTCCCCTAGTGTATCTAGTAAACCCAAGTCTCACCCCATTATCTCAATACAACACTATGAAGTGAATTCACCAGTAAGACTGGATCCACCAGAATTCACAACATCACTTCCTCCCATAAGGAAGTGGCTGTCCCGAGACACGGAGCAAGTGAAGTAAAGAAAAACCCGACGAAACCCATAATATACAAAGGCCAAACAGAAACAAGGCCCCCGGCACCAACGATGTGCTCATGTATAGCCGGTACGGTGGCTCAGTTGCAACCTATAGATCCAAGTCCGGTTCGGCGCGCCGAACGCGATTTCCCCCGAGACGTAAGACCCCATCACCAACTGTAACCATCCCACCGCATCAACGACCGGCACTCGGAACTCCCCGGCGACACCATCACTTGTTCTGTTTTCCTTTTGTTTTCCGGGATCGCTTTGACTCAGATGCAACGACCCGGCGCAGGTAATCCTCTAGGAGGGAGGAAGCATTACAGGGATGCGATTCAGGCTCCCAGGAAGCCTCAGTCACTGGATGACCTTTCCAGAGGACCTGATAGAGGCGCCGGGCTCCTGTGCCCTTATGCCTCAGAATCGCCTCCACCTCATACTCCTCCTCTCCGTCAACCAATATCGGGGGAGGTGGCTTCTCCACCCGTGCGAACCTCTCTGAACGGACGTGTCTCCGTAAGTTGGAGACATGGAAGACTGGATGAATCTTCCAACCTGAGGGAAGACGCAACCCGTAAGCCACTGAAGAAATCACTCTGACTACCGGAAAGGGACCGACCCAGCGTCGTCTGATTTTTGACGGAAGATGCTGGTCGATACTCAAATTCCGCGTTGCCAGTAATACCTCATCACTAACCTCATAACTCTCATCCCGACGCGACTTATTCGCCTGATACTGAGCACGGCGTTGCGCGTGGGCAAGGTTGGCTTGTGCTTCCTCCAGGGCAGTCTTCATCCGTTCCACCATCTGTTATACAGCTTCTACCCGGGAGGTTCCATGTCCTTGTAATATCGATGTAGGCAAAATTGGATGGTCTCCTGAGTTAAGGAAAAACGGTGAATAACCCGTGGCCACATTTTCAGCGTTGTTCGTGGCGAATTCCGCTAACGGCAATTGCTTCACCCAGTGTTGTGGATCTCGTTCAACATACGGTCGTAGGAAGTCTTCTAGCGTTTGTATGGCCCTCTCACTCTGGCCATCCGTCTGAGGATGAAACGCTGTACTGAACCGGAGATCAGTGCCCAGCAGGTCAAACAGACCTTTCCAGAATTTACTGGTAAATCTCGGATCTCGGTCAGATATTATAACCTCCGGTAGACCGTGTAGATGGAAGACATGGTCAACAAACAACCAGGCATATTCCATGGTTGTTACTTCTTTCCTGCATGGGGCAAAGTGAACCATTTTAGTGTAACGGTCCACAAATATTGCTATAGCAGTATAGCCGTCCGATTCTGGTAAGTCAGTGACCAGATTGGTTGTCACCTAAGCCCATTTCCTTGAGGGAATTTCTAAGGGCTGCAGAAGACCGGCTTTGACCCTGTTATCCGACTTCATCTGCTGACAGGTTGGACAACTCCTGACGTATGAAGTAACATCTCCTCTGAGTCCATGCCAATGGAATTGCTTGTCCACTTGTTCCAAAGTCCTGCATATGCCCACGTGTCCAGCAGTGGGACTATCGTGGCATTCCCTCAATATGTTCTGACGCAAGGACGCGGGTACAACGATCTTCACTTGACCATGCTTCTTTATTCCGATCAATCCACTGGGTGTCAACAAGTAGTCATCCGCTCTTTGACTTTGCCATAAAGTGCTCAACACTGTCCTCAGACGTGGATCTGCCTCATATGCTTTGATCCATTTGTGGCTCTCCTCCTGATCCATCTCCATGTGAGCTGTCACAGTAAAGAGGGAACCGGTATTCTCTGTCTCGTGTTCTGCCGGTTCCACTATACTCCTCTGACTCCTACTCAGAGCATCGGCGATAATGTTTGCTTTCCCAGGATGGTACTTGATCATGGGATTGATCGACTGAAACAACCCAATCGCATCCACCTGGTCTGCACTCGGGTAAGCACTGGCTGGTCCATAATGCGGTTTAACGTTTGGTGGTCTGTCAGAATGACCACCCCGCCAGGACAGCCCTCCACATAATGTCGCCAGCTCTGTAAGCAGTACGCCATTGCAGCCAGTTCGCGTTCATAAGCCGAATACCTCTGTTCCGTCGGCTTGAGTCGTCTACTCAGAAACGCGACTGGTCTCAAGCCATCTCCCTGATCCTGTAACAATGCACCTCCCGCACCTGTGCCCGAGGCATCGGTGAAAATCGTATACGGGAGTTTAGGATCTGGGAAAATCAGAATTGGCGCACGACAGAAAGCCTCTTTCATGGCAGCAAACGCGTTTTTCTGATATGGGCCCCATTGCCATGCCATCTCCTTCTTCGTGAGATTAGTCATAGGCTTGGCAATGTTACTGTAATTCTGAATGTACCTCCGGTAATAATTCGTGAACCCCAAGAACGAACGAACATCTGTTACGTTCTGGGGTGTGGCTCAATCGTGTATTGCCTGCAGTTTGACCTCTGTCGGGGTCAGTCCTCCACCACAAATCTGGTGTCCAAGGAACTCCACTGAATCCTTGACAAACTCACATTTTGAAGCTTTTGCAAAGAGTCAATGTTCCCGCAATTTCTGCAGCACTTGGCGCACGTGTTCAGTATGCTGGTCTAACGTGGCAGAATATATCAAAATATCATCCAAGAAAACAAGGATGAATCGGTCAAGATACTCTCCTAGGAGATCGTTCATCATGTTCATAAACTGCACTGGGGCATTGGTAACACCGTATGGCATCACCAAATACTTGAATAGACCCCAGCGAGTTTTGAATGCCGTCTTCTAAACGTCTCCTTCTCGCACCGGTATCTGCCAGTAACCAGATTTCAAATCGATTTTACTGAACACTTTTGAACCGCCCAGATGACCAAATAACTCCTCCGGTAACGAGAGGGGATATTGATTCCGAATTGTCTTTTTGTTCAGCCAGCGGTAATCCACACAAAACCGCAAGCTTCCGTCCTTTTTAGGAACGAATAGGATGGGTGCGCCGTATGGGGATTCGGAAGGGCGAATAAACTTATGCTCGAGCAGCATTTCAATTTGCTTCTTCGCCTCTGCCAACTCGAGCGGGCTCAATTTATATAGGGGCCGATGGACTGGAGGGACGTCATCCTCCAAATCTATCTTAAACTGGTGCCCCTTTCGTACAGGTGGAAGCCCAACCGGTAATTCATCCGGAAAGACGTCGGAATACTCCTTGAGAATTCCCTTCAATTGATCAGGGAGATCCTCTCGCTGTAATTGCGATGAGTACAAGTCCGATTGGGTCTTCCCCTCACGTTTGTCCACTGGTTCCGTCACCTTCCGAATCATCCCCATAAAAGCCCGTGTTTGAGGCTTTTTCCTCAGTAATCGACTCATTTGTTTAGCACTGATCATGGTCACCAATTCCTCTGATGGTACCCTTTTTTGTGTGGCAAGGGGTAGTTCAATCCACTTTTGTCCTTGCTCAACAGTTACTACCCCGCGAGTCCAATCGATGTGGGGATTCTCCTTCTGTAACCAGGGGATACCCAAAATCATAGGTTTTTGCAGACCAGGGAATACTTTCGCCTGGACTGTTCCCCGATATCCACCACATTTGAATCGCAACTGGACTTTGCCTTCTGTCTGGGTTTTGGTACCATCAGCCATGGTCAGCGTATTAGGAAGGGGATCCTCCTCCACTTTCACCTTATGAGCTGCACACACCTGAGCGGAAATGTAATTTCCGGTCGATCCAGAATCGATCAGGAACCTCCATGTCTTCCTACCGATACGACCAATAACTCAAGTGTTCTCAGGTGCGCTCGCCCACATTGACTGGCACCAAATACCGCAATGCCAGTCTGTGGTCTCTCCTTAGTTACTTCCCCGGTGGAATTGTCGGACGGTGAGTCTGCCACTCTACAATACTCCCGCCGACCTGCCTGTTTCCGTTCGGTTAGATCCGACCCCGCGCCTGCCACTGGAGGTGGGGAAACCGGCGCTTGTTGCTGTTGTTCC